TTTTAATATACTGCAGCTCTATATTAATATTATATATTGATTTATTAATATTTCTCAACCATTTTAGTTTTCAAATTATTACTGTTCAGTGATCAACTGTTCAGCTTAATTGTCTTGTTCAAAATGCTCCTAGTAAAAATAATTGCAATATAGGTACTTTTTTAATAAGCCAATATATTAGTATAATAATTAATAATGTATGAATGTAAAAACATCCACACACACTTTCATACATATACAAAACCAAATAAAAAAACATAACATATTTTGATACAAACAAAATTGAATTGTTTTTAGAAGCCTTAGATATTAATAATATAAAGTTAATTGAGTCTTATGAGAATAACTCTTATAGAATATTTCACTGTTCACTGCAAAGAATAGTTAAAAAAGAAAGTTTAGTTATTTTTAGAAAAAAGTTTTACATATTAATCATAAATTAATTATATTTTATAAGTTTTTGAACGTTTGTTTGCGAAGGGTGCTCTAGCCAAATATATTTTCAATGGTTCTTCTATTTCATGATCACTTGCACTTTTGAATTTTACTTGTTTTTTTATGGATTCTAAAAAGATACAAAAGTCATAAGATTGATATATATATTTTAATATACATTTTGAGCTTTGGGATAGGTATTTGTATTCCCAATTTTTCATTTAAATTTTAAAAAAATGTTTTTTTGTACTAAATTTTACTTTAGTTTTTAATAATTGTGGTTACACTACAGACTATTGTACTTAATAACATAATAAACAGTTATCGGTTTACAAAAATATTCTACTTAACTAATCATTATTAGAAGTAATTTTGAGCCCTTATTGAATCTTGATATATAGGTATTTTATAATAATAATAATATAATAATTTAATATAAATTAGTGGCTGATCAATCTAATTTTATTTATTAAAAAAAAAAAAACAGATACACAAAATAGGGTTTAATGATAATTACAACCTAACCACCAATATAATGGTCAGCACCCATAAATTTTCTTGAATGAATTAAGTATTAAGCTTGCAAGCAGGGCTCCCATTATAAGGTTAGGTTGTGGTTAGCATTTTTTTTATGAATAAATAAGATTAGATTGTCTTGAAAGAATCAACTATTAAGCTTGCAAGCAGGGCTCCCATTATAAGGTTAGGTTGTGGTTAGCATTTTTTTTATGAATAAATAAGATTAGATTGTCTTGAAAGAATCAACTATTAAGCTTGCAAGCAGGGCCCCTGCAATGGTCAAGGGGAAGGGGGCTGTTGGACCTGGAACACAGGGGCCCAGATATTTTAGAGCCCGTGGCCCAATTAAAATGATTGTCATTTTTGAAATTTTAATAGGAACACATAATGTTATATTAACTAATATCATAAAATAACATTTTGATTTTTGATATTTAAATACATTGTGAAAAAGAGGGCCGGAACAAACATTTAGTACAGGGGCCCAAAATTGAATGTGGGGGGGGGAGATGTTTGCAAGTGTTATATAAATGGATTTATATTTTCCATATACTTACTTAAAACAATTGGAAATATAAACAAATCGCAAAATTTCTTTTTCCCTTTTTTCCAGTAAATGAATAGGTATTCCGCAAGAAAACTATTTGTAAATAATTTTGACATGAATCTCTTAACGGCTGTTTTTACATTTTTCCCTCCAACATGTGATAATTTATTTATCTATAAATATAGTTAATTATAATTCTTTTTTACTTTTCTAGTTATCTTAAAAWWAATATACATACCAAAGCTTTTTTGAATTCTTGATTGCTCAATGTTTTGTCCTCTAAAGTGTTTAAATCAACTACATTATCTATTGGTATARAGCAATCGGACATACGGTTTATGTCTACATTTGTGTTTGTTCATAAAATTTARTTGGTTTATCCTCYAGAAACTTTTCAATTGATTGTACTCTYTCTAAYAATTCATAGTGATTATTKGTYAKTGTATTYRTAATATGTTTCAGCTCTACTTTGAAATACATAACATGTCTTATGATTTGTTTTTTGAACTCTTTATCTAAAAGTGAAAAACAACATATGCTATAAATTAATCCTAGTGTATGGAACCAATAATATACTTACCATTGATCGCATCATGATCTTCACATAATKAAAATGATTTTCTTCCAGTGGATTTCTCCAGATCAAAAGGAACTTCATTATGTTGAAAATTGTGCAAAATCACTATTCCATTCTCCTTTTTTGACTGCGTTTAATACTTAGGCGAGAATTGTGTCTCTACTTGTTTCAATTTTTATTTTAGACCAGTCTAATGTGAAAGGTGATTGTTCGTAAATAAAATTAAGACTTATACATTCTTCATTAYGATTTTCAAATTTTAATTTTGAACCTTTTATTCGTGATAAAAAATCGGCTATATTATCTTCGGATTTCGCATATTTATGTCAAAATCGAATGATGATAAAACATAGGCCCATCGTTGTACCTTAATAGGTACGTAAATTGGGATACCTTTCTTATCACTTAAAATATATTTTAACGGTTTATGGTCGGTTTCTAATAGAAAATGCCTACCATATAAATATTCATAAAATTTCGTAACACCGTAAATAATTGTTAAAGCTTCTTTTTCAATTTGTGGAAATTTACCTTCTGACTTAGATAGAACTCTTGATGMATATGCTAAWGATTTTTCAGTACGATCTAGGTACACATGGTACCTAACCTATAAGTTTATGATGGAAAAGCAAAATGAATCGGACTTTACTGCATCAGGGGATTCGGACCTCCGGATGTCGGCGGTTGGGTGACGGTGCTCGCCACAGGTGTCGTTATCACCTCCAGRCACTGAAAGTGTAGGGTTGCCGAAGCAGGGCCCTACCGCCATCTACGGTGTTGGTAATGTTACTGCTTTCGAGAGCGTTGCGCAGGCCGGAAAGCCACTGAAGTCACTGCAACAGGCAAGGCCGAGATTTTGACGGATGCRAACTTGGTCAGGACTTCGTTTAAAGCGCTGAGGGTGTGCCTCTCCACCCAGGACGGTGGGCTCAAACTGCTGGACCAGACGGCCAGGTCACTCGAGACTTGGTCTGCCAAGGTTAGGAGTCCCGACGTCAAGAACGCGATCGAGGAGATTCTCTTGGTTGTCAATCGCCTCGGGAAGTCTCGTGACGCCATCCACAGGGCATACATTGTCCTGTCGCATAACGTTATTTGCAGCAGCAACCGGTCACAGGTGGAGGTGGCASCAATATCGGCCAGCCAGAACGCAGGCACCCAAACCACGGGTAGAAGCACAGAAAGCGATCGTAGCTGATCAGCAGGGGCAATTAAATGGTCTCTTTCTCTGATCGCCTAAGGATGGAGAGGAYAACCAGCGCMCTGGTTTACCTACGGAGGGAAAACGAAGGAAAATAGTCCGGACCCGTAGAAGAGGAGGTAGCCAGCCAGTTTCGGGTCGAGCCAGCATTCCAATGACGGTGATAAGGGCTCCCAGAACCACTCCCCAGGCAGCCGGCTAAGGTGAAGGAGGTGCATCTTCTTGGACGGAAGTCGTGCAAAGGAGAAGGAAAACGGTGAAACCTACTCCATCCACCCATAAGCCGGACGGTAGTGCACCAGCCGCCAGGACTGGCACCACCAAGCCTCGCACCAGAACGCGCACGTCAGCATTATGGTCAAGGTCGTAGCTGAAGARTTCCCAGAGCAGGCCAGGAGAATTCGAGGCGGGTTGAGTTCGGAGATCATCGGCGACAATGTTGTGAGCATGAGACCAGCCAAGTCTGGTGGGATGCTCATAGAAGTTCGTAGCGACCGGTCCCGGGTTGAGGCTGTCCGCGCCGAAGTGGCGAAGTCCACAGGACCCAAGATCGAGGTGCGAGCTCTCCAACAAAGAGCTTTGGTGGAGGTTCGGGATCTCGATCATTGGACAAGTTCCGACGAAGTGCTCCAGGCCGTGTCCARCTCTGCCAGTGTCGATCAAGAGACTTCACAGTGGTGAGCCTGAGGAAGAGGTTCGGCGATTCCAAGATGGCGTTGGTATCTCTTCCGTTGGCCAAAGCACGTGGTCTAACCAGTCAAGGTCGACTGAGGGTCAGCATGGTTAGCTGCAGAGTTAGGACGGCCGTAGCGAAAGTGAGGTGCTTTCGCTGCCTCGCTTACGGCTACACTCACAAGGCGTGTCAGGGCCCGGACAGGTCGGAGTGTTGCAGACGCTGTGGCGTGRCAGGTCATAAGGCGATCAGCTGCAGTGTTTCGGTCCAGGCTGTTAGCGACTTCGCCTAAGTGATGGCTGAGACCAAACAATCGTGATGGGTTCGTCGTACCAAAACCCCATGCGAGTTTTTTCGTCGGATGGAACAAACGTYATCCAAATCAATCTAAACTATTGTTGGGCGACGCARCAGTTTTATTGCAAACGATGGCAGAATTCAATTGGACCATTGCGATAATTAGCGACTACCATCGGCCGATGGGAGACGCGGAGCAGTGGATCTGTAGCATCACTAGCATCGATGGCAAGTGCGCTATCTTTGTCACAGGTAACCCACGCCCAGTTATCCTYGAGCACGGTGCTGGTCTGGGATTCTCTTAGGCCAAGGTCGATAATACACTGTTATGGAGCCCAAATTGCACCATTGACAAATACGATACTTTTCTCAGCGGCCTTGAGGCGTCCATCCGTAGCCACCCAAGCTAACTATCGAACCTCATTGTGGCTGGTGATTTTAATGCGCACTCCTCTGGTTGGGGATCGATTACCAATGATGCGAGAGGAGCTTTATTGTCAGACCCAGCGGTGTCACTAAACTGAATAGTCTGTAACACGGGCKCTACTCCAACTTACCGGAGGTTAAATGCGGCCTCAGTGATTGATGTTACTCTGGCGGGCAGATATCGAGCAATCACCCGTTGGTTAACGACTGGATGGTTCTAGAAGATACATACTCTGCCAGCGACCATATATACATTTCACATACAGACTCGAGTCCAGGATTTGGTCGTTCCGAATACACYACTGCAAGTTCTCCGGCGGTCGGTTGTTCAATAAAGAGGCTCAATACGGAAATGGTGAACCTATACTGGGATCTGGTGGATGCTCCCCCTTCACTTCCTGTGGGCACTTCCGTC